CTGGAACCTCTCCGCGGCACATCTGGATCGCACCGTCGATGTAATTGAACCTGGCGTTCACATGGCTACCAAATACAGAACATCACTCGTTCTGACCGCCCCTTGCCAACATCTGGTCACGCGGCCACCTGCCTCTGAGCTGACACCGCGGCCGTGCGGGCGGGGTGAAGAGAGGGAAGGAGGGGAGGACCGAAGAAGCGGGTGGAAGCTGATTCCCGATGGCTAAGGGTTCGTTAAACGCAGCCCTCCCTCCTCTTCCTCCTCCTCCTATTCCTGCTGCTCCTATCCAGCCACTGCTTCGCGCGCGGTTCCTCCACAACACTCGCCACTCAGCGCAAGTCCACGAGACGTCAATCTTGATGCCCTCCAGAGTCCGCTCCAGAGAAAAAGTCCGGGGAAAGAAATCAAAGACTCAGCTCTTCGCCACCACCAACACGCAATACATGCCAGAAGCGTGAGTTTGGAGACATGCCTGAGCATAGCACCAGCTTCCATGGGTTCTGGATCAACCCAGGTAAGGACCTGGGCCCACATGCACAGCTGTGCCAATGTACGACATAGATGGGTCGAAGTGTGGGAGATACACTACTATCATCGGCTGGACAACGATACCTGTAATGCCGAACGCCAACATCTGGGGGCTCGATCATGTACTCTGGGAGGTCAATGTGGTGGTGATCCGAGCATGCAAAGACTGTGTCAGTGATCTTTTCGCCCACCAACGAGCATGCGAGGACAACGCACGCAGCACAACGCTCGCGTCCACTAAAGCAAAGGCACTCGGCATGGAACCATGGAACGCCAAACCACCCTTCGCATGGACTAGCGGAAGGGGGCGGCGAGTTCGAGCGGGAAGAAGACCCAAACATCCGATGTCTTGTTCTGTCCGGTGCGCGCACCATCAATTTCTACCTTTTCACCCATCAAGAAAGAGTGTTCACACCGATACGGTTTGTGACAACCCTGGGGCCTGCCCGGCGGATGTCCCCAGCTGCCGAAAATTGCAAAACGCCATCCGCCGTATGTTTTCGTCGACGCGAACATGAAAGCCGAAGAAAATGACAAACACGAAATAAACGTGCCTGCCCGCCTCACTCCCGTCTCCCTATCTCCCGCGGCGCCTAATTGATCCAGACTCCAGGTTCCACTGGTGCCACCAATCGTCCAGGTGTATGGGCGATTCACCCACCTCGGTCACACGACGGGGCGGGTTCGGATGATGGGCCCAGTGCTGTGCCTCCTCCTCGCCCTCACCCTCCCTCCAGAGGTATCACCTGCATCCCCAGTGCCTCCTCCTCCTCCTCCTCCTCATCAACCGCCCTCGACTCCTGAATGCCAGGCCCTTCAAGCGCCTTAGGCCCAACAAAGCAGAGTGGCAAGCACACGCTCACTCTCCAAGTCTCCTATAATTGGTTGACGATGTGTGTGTGCAGCTACGAGTAGGTCGATATAAAGATGTCAATGATTGTATATACATAATTCTAAGCTGAACCTTCTGAAACTCCTCCCGTTGCTCGTATCTCCCCATATATGTCTCCTGATTTCTTTCTTTCTCTCTCTCTCTCTCTCTCTTTCTCGCTCTCGGTTCCCATCCATCCTGCGGTGTTGGGTCCTCGTTTCGAAGAGACGGTCCCCGCAGTCCCTCCTTCCCTCCCTCCTTCCTTTCTCCTCCCTCCTCCTCCCCCTCCACCCTCCTCCCTGCGCTTCACCCACCCACTACAGCGCTTCGTGGCCCCATAGGGAGCTCCACCGAAGGCCCCAGTGGTACCGCCCGCATGCGTCACCACCACCCATTTCGACACACCCATCACACGTTTCGTGGCCCCTAGGAGGCTCTGCCGGAGGCCCAGTGCCACCGCCCGCATGTGTCACCCACACTCATTTCGCCACACCCCTCACACGTTTTATGACCTCATAGGAAGCTCCACCGAAGGCCCCAATGCCACCGCCCGCATGGGTTACCCACACCCAGTTTGGCATATCCCTCACACGCGTCGTGGCCCCATAGGGGGCTCCACCGAAGGCCCCAGTGCCACCGCCCGCATGCGTCACCCACATTCATTTCGGCACACCCCGCACGTGTTTCGTGGTCCCATAGGGAGCTCCACCGAAGGCTCCATTGCCACAGCCCGCATGCGTCACCCACACGCATATCGGCACACCCTTCACACGCGTCGTGGCCCCATAGGGAGCTTCACCGAAATCTAGTGCCACCGCCCGCATGCGTCACCCACATTCATTTCGGCACACCCCTTACACGTCTCGTGGCCCCAAAGGGGGCTCTACCGAAAGCCCCAGTGCCACCGCCCGCATGCGTCACCCACATTCATTTCGGCACACCCCTCACACGTTTCGTCGCCCCATAGGGAGCTTCACCGAAAGCCACAGTGCCACCGCCCGCATGCGTCACCCACACCCACTTGGGACCACCCCTCATACGTCTCGTGGCCCCATAGGGAGCTCCACCGAAGGCCCGAATGCCACAGCCCGCATGCGTCAC